ACTTGGAGTTACTAGTTTTTTTATGCATTTTGCTTTAGTTCCTAAACTACATTAATCGATTGAGAGAAATAGCAATTCAACTTGCATCAAATTAAAATGGTGTTCTGGCTTCTTTGTAGGTTGAGCAGCTTCAGCATGTCAAACAGAACTTCTGCAAAAATCTAAAGAGAGAACTTTTCTTTGGTCCCGGAGAACTGACTTTTCAGCTCCAGACATGAGTTTTTAAATGATTCTTTCATAGTATCCTTACGAGTTCCCAAATAGTGTGCAGATCTACCCGCAAGTAGGTCTAACACTTATTAGGTAATTTTTGCAACTTGTTGGACTTCCCAAAAACAACAACAAAAATTCTCTGGTAATTGTTTGCTGTTAGAATCGGTAAATCAGCCGCTTGCTCACTTGTAGTGCTCCACACTGCTCTGGTTATCAATACCATATTAAACTCCCAATTCTTGCCTCGAACATAAACTTTTTAGTAGCATTTTCTGTTCTACTAGAGTGGCATCATCAGTTTTTCACTGTCAAACCCTTGACTATCTTTCACTTGTTTTTTTTTTTTTTTCTCTAAGTGTCTTAACAGATGTGCTGGGTGTTGTTGTTGTTTTTCTTACTCTTAATTCTCAATGCTAGTTAACTGTAATCTGCCTAGTTCTGGCCCTATTACATATAGGTGATCTCCCTTACATCATTTCTTCATATATGTGTACCACACTCATAACTTTCTATAATATAGATTCTTCTAAATTTTCACTTAATTACCAGAGCAATTGCATAAAAATGCTTATTAGTCCAGTTGCTTCACATCTTAACCAAAGAGATATCATAAACTACTTGTTGACATTCTTCAACTCCAGGGGGATTTCTTTTTCTTTTTACAAGTTATTTATTTTGCAGTGGAAAACATAAAATCAAATTTTAAATGATAAAATGATCCCCAGTAGGTTAGAAGTAAGCTTGGGTGTTCATAAAACTAAAATTCGAGATCTGATTCCTTTGTGCAGCTTTGAGCTTAAACAAATCAAGTGCTATGTTAAGATGCATGTAAAATGGTGCAACTTAAACAGTATCACTCCTAATATTTAGAAAAATGCTAAAATGTTTATGGAGTGAAACTATTTCTAAAAACAATCATTCTGTATTTGCAACATACAAGTTTGTGATGAAGACTTTGTGAAAGACTTCTTTCTTTTTCTTCTGAAGACTGACACATGTTTAAAAAATAAAAAGATGTCACAGTGCAATTACAGGAGCAGTAATTTAAAGACAAAAATTTTAAATTCTAATAGCCAAGTTATTTTGAAAGGTGGACCTTCCATCACCAGAAGCAAACGTGAAGAAGGATTCATGTTTCAAAAGCACACAGGTTATAGGTTTTTCATATTTTTGTGTTTAATTGATTTTTTGAACTTTTGTGTTTTCTTAACAACACAGAGGAAAAGTAAATTTCATAAAAATGTGGTGACCTAATAGTTAACCATTAGGAAATTAATTATGAAATTAAAATTTATTATATAATATAACATAAGTTTATAAATCTGGTAGCAAAAGTGAAACACTCAATTAGAGTTCATTTGTATAACCTGTAATAAGCATGTAGGTAAATGTGAAGAATAAAGTTTAAATAATATCTCCTAAGATATAAAACACTGAGTATAGTGTTAAAAATTTTGTGTCATCTTTACTTCCTCTTCCCCATTCTCCCTTGCCATCTCTCTTACGTCAGCCTTGGTTGGATATTTTTCATCCAACAAGTTGACATTATTCAACTTCACACCTGGATTTTATGCGTTCCATCACACGACATCAGGGATTGACATCTTGAGTGCTGTCCTTATTAACACATTCCATTGGACATTTTTCTTTGAGGTTTATCAAAGGAAATGATTTACTTATCATCAATAATCTCTCAGAAAATCTGTAACATGTTTCTCAATTTTTCACATGGTTGTTTCACAAGGGTTTGGCACTTTTAGCTGTTGCCTTCTATAAGGCTGCCTTATCAGCTCCTTTTCTTTTTTTATATGCAAAGAAGAGTTTTGAGTCCCCAGTTTTATCATTACTTTTCAAATCATTTTGCATCACCCTCTCCAGGTTCCTAAGTGGGATATAACAGTGGTTCTCTATGCATTATCATGTCTGCCTTTTGAAACATTGTAGTCATGTTCACTATATCATCTTTCACTTAATACATGTTTTCTTCTATTATTGGCTAGTGGGATCAATATTCAGTTGTGTTTACACACCATGTTAACAGGATACTGTACCATTCCAACTATACTCTATTGTATGCAGACATGGTCCTTTCTACCTAAATTTGCACCAGCTATGGAAGGAGATAAGGTTTTATCACCTATTAATCTTCCCTCCATTTCCCTTTAATACAACTTTTTGGATCCAGATTATTTTTTATGCTGCCCTGTTTGGGATCTCCGATGTTATGTGATGTGTACTGAAGAATTTCAGGAGTTACATCTCCCAGGTTATTTGTCCATTAGGATCTTTCAGTTTCACACAACTTATCCCCTGTCACTTTGATAAGTTGGTTCAAATAGTATACTCTGGTCTCTCATTAGACAAGTGGAGACTTCTTCGGGTCTCATCTTATCAAGTTTGACATATATTGATGTCCCTGACAGCTCAGTTCTGTTGTCTGCTGGAGGAAATTGTACAGGCTCGTATGTGGACCACATCTAACACCTTTATATAACACTGTTTACATGATTTAGACAGTCTTCTCTTCTGATGGGTTTTGGTTACCCCCATGGCTGTTGTACATATCCCAACTTGATTGTGACAGAGGTGAGTAACTTCATTTCTTTCCTTTTCAAGGACTTTTTTGTCTTCCTCATTTGGATCCCACTCAGTGGCACGTGCTGCCTGGTCAAATATACTTTTCGTAATCCGTGCTAGTTACCAGTAGACTAATAACTAATTCCTGTTAGCAACAAGCTCTGTTGAGATGGGGTGTTCCATGAAACTGCCTTGGCACTTTCCAGGTGGTGAATCATTGTTCTATATCAACTATCACAATACTGGATCATTGCTCATGGGCTGTCAAGAGTAAAGCACAAAGGGACTTTCCCCATCCCTGCTAGCCACTGCATTGAACAAATTGGGGCTGGTTTGCTTTTCAAAATACATGGTTCATGTAAAGCACTGTCTCCAGAGCATCATTCCTCAGGGTTCCACTATGCGTATCCCCCCTGCTCTTCTAGTGGAGCATGGGAGTCCTTACCACTGTGTTTCCAGTTGCTGGAGTAGTGGACAGAGGTCTGTTTCCCCTGAGTGATGTTTGTACTCATTATTCTACTCAAGGAGAAGAGAGCAAAGCTAGTTACCCTCCTACCCTTATCCTATGTGGGAGCCTCCTCATAATTCCAGTTCAAAGATGACAGTTCACTATCCGGTTGTGTGAGCGTGGCCCTTCTTTTTGATCATTCTCTTACTTTCCATGATCATGGTAGAGGGTCCTCAACTCCTCATAATTTTGCACGAGGAGCATCACATCAGTGAGCCATTGACTAAACTTTGTTTGTTCCACATCTTCCTTGTAATTCAGGAGGCAGGAGGTGTTACCTTGTCTCCCAGGTTGAAGAGTTAGGAATTTGATTCGTAATCCCAGGCCGAATGATCTCTGTTTCTTCAGGTTGAGTGAGGTGTGAACTGGCTCTGTAATTCTGAGTTTGGTTTATTGCATTTTGTGCTTTTTCAGGTTGGAGTTTGGGTTTGTCCACTTAGGTGTTGCTTGTCTTCTCTTTGTAATTCCTTTGGCTCGATATGCAACATATTGTAACTTTCAGGTTGGGTTCCCATCATATCATATTTTTATTATACAGTTATATTGCAGACCCCATGCCCTAGCCACTATACCTTGAATACAGCTTTGAGCCCACAGCCCTATAATTCCAACAACGAGATGTGGAACCTTGTATGTGTGGTTGGAGCCTGGACAAATCTCATAATAATGAACAATGTCAACTCTATAGCCAGTTGGCTTTTACCACCCAAGTTTAGATTTCACTTTATCTGGTCGAGGTGCATACCTGTTCCAGAAGTAGTGTAGACCACTCCACCTGGCCAATGTGGGATTCTAGATAAAGTGTGAGAGGAGGTGTGTTTTAGAAGTTTACATTAAATGTATTTCCAATAATACTTATCTCCTTTCAAACAACCCACCCCCCCCCATTTCTTCCCCACAATAGCTAGTATTTGGGTCTGATAATCTTGCCAGTCTTGAAAAAGTGAATAAGAAAGAATGGCAACATTATCAGACCCAAACACTGGCTATTGTGGAGATGAAGGGGGGTATAGTGTGAAGGAGGTAAATATTATTATAAATACATTTTTATAGGGATTGGGTATAGAGGGTGCGTTGACGTAGGTGGAGAGTCACAAGATTAAAATCACTAGGGGCGATATAGTGGGGTATAAAGACTGGAGCAAACGAAGTAGAATTCGTACCATTGCTTAGATGGGGAAAGAAGAGAAACTTTCATCAGGATAAAGTGTGACAGGAAGTAATTATTATTGGAAACACGTTTTTGGTATAGAAAAATGTAAACCTCCATATATTCATGGACAAATATTTAGCAGAAATGTTTAATTAAAAACTCTGATTTTTTGTGTACAAAAGACTTGTAATGTTTACTGAAAGCTTGCCAAATTTCATGAATATTCATAAAACATCTTAAAAGTTATAGTATTGAAACTGTTTGTCACATTGGGATTACATTTTTGGTCAAATCAGTCAATCCCATAATGAGAGGGTTAAATGAATATTTATTTTACAATGCTTGTAAATATATTATTTTATTACACCTTTGAGAAATCATAATTTGCCATAATTTTGGTATATTGATACCATAAACTCAAACCTGTTGTCACAAAGACATAATTTTGATGAAATAGAAGTATATTTGTTGTAAAATATATCAGATTGGTTTAAAGATATTGCAGAAATAAATGTTATTGGTTCTAAAGACCAGACATTCCACTTCCAGTTATGACCATGTCCAGGCTACAGTAGAAATGGAAATAAAGAAAAACAAGCAACAGTCACCCAAGATTGATAGTTCTCCATGTCCTCCTGGCTCTACATCATCCCAAGCCCTAAGAGAAAGGGCATGTCAATCACCCACTCCTTCAGTTACCTCCAGGTGTAGCCTATCCTCTACAGTAACTGACTTTTCTAGAGGTAAGTAGGTATTTCTTAGTTCACATATCAGTTATTATTAGTAAATGTCTGAGTCCCTTCTGGTTAGGAAATCAAGCTTATTATTCTCAAAATTGGCAAAAATATTAATAATAATAGAATGTAGACAAATACAGGCTACTTTGTGTAACAGATGTTCTATTGTTATCATGTAAAACTGTTGCTTATTGCAAAAATACATTTGTAATGAATAATAAAAATATGATAATACCAAAAAACATCTTTAATATGGACATTTCAGAATTTCCTTAAATTCCAGCATTAGCTTTAATGTCTAAAAAAAATTAGTTCATAATATCTGAACTACAGAAAACAGCATTAGCATTGAGTGAGTTTTTGTATTCAATCGAACATTTAGAAAGAACAGATTTAAACGGTAACAATATAATGGAATGTACGATAAAACTTGTAGTCTACACATGTTTAATAAATAACACTGTTAAGAGAAACTATTATAGAGAAAGGCTTGAATATAAGCATCAACACTGTATCTTTAAAATAATAATAAATATCAAATAAAAACACTGAGAATCTGGAATTGATGTTATTATTTAGTCTTATTTTAATAGAGTTTGTAATCTGTGGTTCCAGAATTGAGAATTTTAAAGTTTTCTAGAAGTATGGGGTGGTTGTTATTCTCTGTGCAATTGGATACAAAAACTCGGGTGGATTACTTAGCTTACATTCGCTTCTTGCTGAAATTCCCATGTGCTCATGTGCATATATTTGTCGGTGACATGTAGTTTTACCAATATAGCTAGCTTTATAGTTACCACAAGTGTATTTATATACAACCCACAAGTGCATAGGAATGGGTAGTGTCTTTGATTTTAAACATATTTTTAATTCTAAATGTTGATGTAAATACTAAACTTAGCTTAATTTGTGGGTAATATGTTTGATTATTTTTTGAATTTGGTACTTGAGTTTAAATCTTTGTTTGTCAATGAAAGGAATGATAAGAACTCGTGGATATTTTGAGACTTTACTTGCTATTTACTCTGAAACTTTCAGAAATCATTAATTGATTTTAACCATTAATGTGATTGGTTCTTATAAATAAATTGGCTCACTACTGGTGAGGTGAGACAGTCTAAAAAAAGAAAAATATACACTTACTTTTTTTTTGGAAGGAATTTTATTAGATAGAATTAAAGTTTTTAAAACTTTTCATTTTCTTAAATGAACTTGTAAATATGATCAGCTCTGTGGCATTGAAAACAAAAGTAATGTAACATTTGCAAATGTGGTTGGACTTCCTGAAACTAAAATTCAAAACAAGGCCCTAGTGACATCATATTTATATTTATAAATAAAGTGAAAAGACTTGCTTATTTCTTCATGAAATATAACTGTTACTATTAATGTTGGCACCAGTATAAATCTATGGACAGCAAAAGTAGTTTTTGTGACCAAATTTACAGATATAACATGTTTTTTACGTTGGATAAAATGTGAAGATATATATATGTATAAAAGCCACTTTCTGTTCCTAATGCTACCTTCATTGGCCACATTCAAATTGGCTCAGTTCTTAGTCTCAAGTGCAAGTGTGGGGATTCTTTAAACTTTTTTATTATTAAGTCATGTTTAGAGCACTATCATACAATATCAGGTAAAACCAGAATAATATGATGGTTTATGTTAGTATTTGAATTTTGTTAAAATTCTATTACAAAGACTCGGTGTCTAAGTGGTTAACACTCAGCTTATGCAAGCCTCACTTTCAAATCCCAGTTGAGTCAAATTTGATGCTAATTTTTTTATATTTATTATCATATTTACAGCAATCTCTTTAATTATTTGAAAAATTACAAATGCCATTATAAATTAAATCAGGGATCATATCATATATTACATACAAATACCAGTGTCTATCTGTGTCATTCACAACTTGGGTAAGAGATTTTTTTTAATTTAGTCAAAAATGTTATAAGAATTTTTTTATGAAAAGTTACACCTTCTTGCATTTTCTCCTCAACCTCAAATTCTTTGCCTTTGCCATCACAATTAATAAATCACAAGGTCAGTCATTTCACCATGTTGGAATGTTTTGTTGACAACCAGTTTTTCACGTAGTTCAATCTATAAGGCTTTATCAAGAAGCAAATTTGAATAAGAACATAAAAATATGCATAATCCAACATTCTAATCAAGGATCACTTACAAAAGATGACCAAATCTACACAAAAAATTTTGTTTTTAATGAATTCTAGAAAAAGGATAAACATTCTTTATTAATATATTGTTACTATAATATAATTATTTTTTAGAAAGTATGTTCGTAAAACATTTATTAAGATTTAATTTTCAGAAGGAAAATTACTCAGCATTTACTGTCATGTGACAGGCATTCAGCTCGCCCCAAATAAAACCAATAGTAAAATCAAAATAGCTAAATTTGGATATAGTTAAAAATTAACATAAGGTTCAGCATTACATTGATATTGTATTTGTTTTTGACAATATCTCATTTTAAGTGTTTTTATTTTACTGTGATTTTGTAGTGGAACGTTAATTGTTGTATGTTATTTTCCAACGTGGTGGTTTTCTATGCAACAAGAGCCATTGAAAATTCAGCTAATCTCATCGGTATGTTTCCCATGAGAATAAAATTTGAACTAGATGCAAAATAGACAGTTCTCTGTACAAAATACAATGTAAAGTAATACATTATTTGATAGATTAAAGTCTTGGCTTTCTGTTGTTTATATATAATATAATAAAGTATTAAATATCAGAGAGAACTATTGCCAATTTCTGACAGAGGATGTAACAAGTGGTCAGAGCAAGAGGGGTCTGTTTTCCCATTTATGGCTTTGTAACTAAATAAGATTGAAGGCTATAAAAATTATGCTTTGCCTGAGTGATGGCACTTTATAATGAGTAGTTTACTTTAAATTTCCTACATCTTGGAGGGATGGTAAATAAATTAGAAAAGAGGGTATGCCTAGAGAGAAAATTTCACAATTCTCATACTTGCGGAAATTCTGGATTTTTTTTTTTTTTTTCCTTATAACTTTAAAACTTGTATATTATTAAAATTTGAAATGTTCGCTATGTTTTTATGTCACATTTCTTCATATAAAATGGTAAAAAAGTAATTTATTTACATTTTGAATGTAACTTGCTAAAATCATGCAGGAAAATATGGCTGTAGCAAAAGTGTTAAGCACAAAGCTATAAAACTGACTACCTGTGCTACACCTACTGCAGGTATGGAAACTTAATTTTTAGCATTATAAGTTGATGCTGTTTTTAGCCATCTTGTGAGAATAATTAATATTTTTTATATATATTTTTTGGCCATCTCATGGGAATAATCAATTAGTTGAATGTAATCGATTAATGAAAATCGAAGATTAATCACTTAGCTAGTTCCACTATTGTCCAGGTTAAGTAAGAAATGAATTTGGACTAATTGGCAACATCACAGACTAGTCCAATAGAACTAGTGGCTTAATCTTACTTATACAGGTTTGGATGTTTTGTGCATGTCATGACATTTTAGAGAGTTGCATTCAAAATGTAATTAAACAAAAACTTATCATTGGTATATGTTAATAAAATTAGCATCATTATGTAGTTTATAATTCACATATTTATGTCATTTAAGTTTCAATATCATAATTTCAAAAGTACATACTTGAAAAATATTCAGTCTTCACTTTTTATCATATGATGTGCTAGCTCTCTCAACTCTTCCCTTATAGTTTGTATAACTTTAGTAGTATAGCATTTGCATCACCTTTGTAATGTAAACACAATCTGTAAGTAATGAAGAGGTCAAATGTACAGTTTCAACATTATATTTTCTCTGCTTACTGAAATATCAATAAATTTTTCCAACTCATGACAAAAGCCTCAACCAACTATCCTTAACTTTAAAGGCAGTTTTTAAAACTATGTGTTCTTATTTGATGTAAATGTTTATAACCAATAGAAAGAGTTTTTTTTATAACTTCAAGCTTGCAACCATCCTTTTGAGGTTAGCAGCAGTAGATATTAATCTAGAGGAAGTGATTGGTGGTGTTTATAAGGAAAGTTGGTGCTCATTGCATTAAACATTTTTTTTAACTGAGCACAGAATTTCAGGTAATCAGCATGTTAGTCTCTGAAAAATCTGCTAATGTGTTCCCACTGTGATGTGTTGCTTTTATGGAATGAATAAACTGTACATTGTACAAGCCAGATAGTAAAACCATAAAATTAAAATAATTATGTGTGAAAAAGTAAACCATTCACATCATGAATAAAAAATCTTCCAAAATGATGTCTGCAAGGAAGAAGAAAAAATGTATTGCTCATTTTGTTTTATAATTTTCAAAACTTCATTTGACTCTAAGTTCTTGATTTAGCTATGTTTAATGTTAAGTTAGAGAAAATAACAAACACAAAGTTTTACTGATAAATTGATAATATTTATTTAGAAGGCTCTAAGGGTTATGCAAATGAAATATGAAAAAGAAGATGAAAGAAAAAATTATTCTTGGCAAGATTAATCGATTAGTAAATGTCAGTAATTGGTTAACTAAATAATACCTTTATAAAGGACTTCCAATTTTTAATTCACTTGCTGAAATATCAGGGTCACCTAGATGATGATTGTTACTGACGAAATACTTGTTATGAATTAATTTTGAAATTAACAAAATTGTATTGTTCATTTTATTTCATAATTTAATTTTATAATGTAAATTGATGATTTAGCTATAGTTAAGGTAGAGAATATAACAGATAAAATATACACCTTGAAAAAAGTT